AGGATCGTCAGATCGGATCAGGATCTGCCCACGACTTGCCAGATACAATTAGTGCACAGACTGAGATGCGTGAGCAATTTGAGCTTTGCTCCTTTGCCTCGGAACTCAGAAATCCCCAGCGGCCCCCTCGGGGGTTACGAGGTGGGAGAGATTCCGATGAGGGAATCCGCTTCGTTAATAATTGAACGCATCTTCATTAGCCACCTGCTGTGTGGACTCCGCTGCCCCAGATGCTAGAGATAGGGCGGGGAGCATGTCAGAGGAAGAGCAGGCTCCGGCTCATCTTCGGGGGGGCGGGGGGCAGTGGCCGGCAGGCTCAGAGGGACGGCGCCGTGGCGCGGCCTGGAATACTACCCGGCGGTGAAAAAGAACCGTGGCTTCATGCACTCCCGCGGGAATCTCCGCTATGACGCGGGGTACAGGAACGCCGGACACAGGAGAGAATGTGCTGTGCGATTCCGTTTACCTCAGGTTCAAGAACAGGCAGAACTAGTCTGCAGGAATCGAGGTCGAAATAATGGTTATCTGGGGGAGGCGATGGATTGGATCAGGAGGGGCCGGGGAGCCTGGGCGAGCTGCAACTATTTGTGTCTTGATCTGGGGGGTGGTTGCACAGGTGTAGACCTGGGGGGAAATGGAGTCAGCTGTACACTTGAGCCGTGGGCACAGCTCAAGGCCAGTATGTTGGGCTCGTTATCTACTGCCACGTATCAAGTTGCCATGAAACTTAGCGGTGTTAAGCAATGAGCGTTACTATCTCACAGGGCCCCGTGGGTTAGGAACTGACGGAGCTGCGTGCTTCTGGGTCGGGGTCGCTCAAAAGCTTGCAGGCAAGACACTGGCCGGGGCTTCATCCTCCGAAGGCTTATGGGGCTGGAAGAGCTGCTTCCAGGGGGCTCCTCACAGGTGCCTGGCAAGCTAGTGCTGGTTGTTGGGAGGAGGGCTCAGCTCCTTGCCACATGGACCTTTCCATGTTGTGTCAACCAGCTTCCCCCAAAATGAGATTTAAGAGAGTCGAGAAGGAGGAGTCGAGAAGGTGCCTCACCTCTTATGACTTATTCTCCAGAGTCACACCCGTTGCTTCCCCTGGATTCTGTGTTAGAATCAAGTCACTGGGTCCTGCCCACACTCAAGGGGAGGGGAATAAAGCTTTACTCCTTAAATGGAGTAGAAGCAAAGAATTTGTGGCCTATTTTAAAACCACTGCACATGCTATACCTCAATTTTAAAATAATTTTATTTCATATTTTTAAAAAATTGGGTGATAGGATAGAAAGTAATGGGTTTTAGGAAGTGTGCTCACTGTGCTTTCTGAGGAGGTGACATTTGAACTGAGCTCTGAGGAGGAAGAATCATGAAGATCAAGGGAAAAGTATCAAAAGCAGAGGGAACAGCAGGTGCAAACGCTTTGCTATGACATTGAGTTGCTAGAGATTCAGAAAGACCAACATGGCCAGAAGTTAAGGAGCCAGGGGAAAGGAGGAGCCGTGATGGGACAGGTAGAGGCCATGGAGGAAGAAATGTGAATGTTACGGATCGAAAACAGCTCGAAGCCACTGGAGGCATTTGAGCAAGGGCAAGGTCCCCTCTGCTGGAGATTTTGAACAGCGTGGTCTGGCTGCAGGAGCAGGAGTGGAGGGCCAGACTCAGCAGAGAAGAGGTGATGGCTTGGATTAGGGGGGTCACGGGGACATGGAGAGAAGGGGGCAGGTCTCGGTCTCTGTCCCTGGGCTCCCACATGCTCAGATCCTCCCAGGGGGCGCCCTCCAGGCAGTGGAGCGCTACTCAGTTGTCCTTGCTGAAGGCAGGAAGGCTGAGGGTCCTTCTCCCTCTGAGGAGCGTCAGGTTTGCCAATCAGCAGTCCCACTGCCATTCAGCAGGGCCCTCCTTGCGTGAGCCAGCCTCGCCTGGGCTATTTTTACCCAGCTCGCAGGGCCTGCGTGCTCCCCTGTCCAGATGCAATACCCCCGTTTCAAACAAAGGGCGTTTTAAGACTGGTGAAGACTTGGTAGTTGCCACTGGTGTTTGACTTGAACGAGCTGAAACTCCCTGGCCCCTCTCCAGAGGCGGGCCTGGCCGCATCCTTGCAGACGCTGTCTGCTGCCCACTGGGCCCAGCCTGGGCAGGGAGGGAGCACAGGCTTCCCTGATCAAAGAAGACATTGACCATTCTCCCATCTCAGGCCATGTGCCTTCCCCTCTGGGCAGCCCATTAATACTTGGTTTGGGTTTTGAACTTTCTAGGGAGAGAGGCAACAGAACATAGTTTAAATGCTTCATTAAAATCCAAATATTTTCCAACTTTTGAGGAGGGGCACCTTTCAGACTAGAATCATTCAAAAGAGACATTTGTGCGCTCCGGTGTGGACTTGGATTTCCAAGTGAGCTGTTGACAGCTTGCGAATGCCTAAATCTTGGTCTTCCATTCCTTTCCAGCAAATCCTGGTTTCTTTCCTTCTCGCAGGGACAGATCTAGTGCACTCACTTCTTGGCAGCATGCTACAGCTGCAATGACTTAATTAGTACCTATTTGATTCCAAACTGGAAATGCGTCTGGAGACTTTGAGCCCATAAATACCGAGCATCTGACTCTGCCGTCACATGACACCTCCCTACGCAGGCATATTTCCTCATGATCCTCCAGGTGGTTGAGGGGGGGACATGGGCTGGGGGCTAGGAGTCCTGTGGTCTGTCCTGGCACCATTGCTTTGGTGATCTTGGGCGCTGTACTTTACCTCCCAGGGCTTTCAGGGGAACTAAGGTTTATAAGCAGGGACCTCTCGGTTCCTTTGCTGCTCGGACATCGGGAATAGCTTCATAGCCCCTCAGCTACCAAGATGAAGTGCAACAGGCCACCCGATCAGGGACCCAGAGGAAATGGCGGGACGGGCTCAGAGAGGCCCCTGGGCAAATATCTGGGAGACCAAAACGGCCACCCATCCAATGAAGAGGCATCTTTGTAATGTTTCCGTAACTACTCACATTCGGTTGCTTTCCAGTTCACTGGGCCACTTGATCACATACTAGGAATATTAAGTTTGAGGATGTGTCCTGATTTAGATCATGCCCCCTCATCTGAAGTGAAGTTTGCCAATTTTCCATTTCCAAGCCACAGGCCGTGCACTCCTATATACCAGTAGGTCACTGTGCAGAAGTGTTCAGTTTGTGCACTGCACAAAGGCACTGAGCCAAGGAGACAAATGAGGCTAAGATGTCCTTTCACCTTAGGCAGCGGGGTGTGGAGAGTGGCGGGAAGAGGAAGGGGGCGGCTGTGAAGCAGAGGTTAAGAGCACAGCATAGTGGGGTGCTTAAGTGCTAGGGACAGATCGCCTGAAGCAGATCATGCCACCTAGCATTATGTGACCTAGGACAAGCTCTTTGCATTTGTTTCCCTATCTGTAAAATGGGATAACAGTAGTACCTAACTCATGAGTTGATAGGAGAATTAAGTAATATGTTAAATCCTTAGCACAGTACCTGGCGTGTAGTCACTGATGAATAAAACAGTAGCTCTTACACATTAGAGGTGGGAGTGCTCATCATTCCCCCTTCTCCTCTCAGGAGATGTTCTTCTAACCAAGAAGACATTGGAGTTGGGCTTTTTTTTTTTTATCAGCAGGTGTCCCATGGTCTCACTTTACAGGGCATCCTAATGCTCTCGTCCAAGTCCACACCAGAGTCCAGCATGTAGGAGGAGGGCTGGCTCCTGGTGCCCTGGCTTGGAGGTTCAGAGAACACCAGAGCAAGGACCCAAGAACAGGCGAGCTTTCCAGTGCGCTCCGGTGCCCGGCCCCTCAGCTCATGTGGTCACTCAGCCAGTCCGATGGGATGGTCTTCTGCAGGGGCAATGTCCTTGCCCCGAACCCCTGGCACGAAAAGATGTGACCTGGTTCTTGCAGTAGGAGTCCTGGTGGGAATATGGAGAGTGGGGAGGGGCCTCTTCTGCAGGGACGTCCCTCCTAGCTGGGAGTCCTGGGGCTTCGTCAGAGGGCCACCCCCTCCGCACATGGCCGTGTCACGGGAAGATCGCAGACCCTTCTGATCACATCTGTCCTCCTCTATGTTGACCCTGAGGTGCACATTCATGGTGACCACACCCAAACTGAGCACGAGCATCTGGAAAAAACGGCTCCGTCAGCCTACTGGGTTATTCACTCCTGTCCAGGTGGAATACATTTCTCTCTCTGCTTCATGCGGCTCCAAGGCTTTTTTTAGAAGGAAAAGCCAAAGGTAGACACCTGGCCGGCAGCAAGGCCCCTCACGGTGGTCGGGACGGAAATATGCTTCTGGGTGGGTGAGTGCTCTGACTACATGGAGCCCCTTGCCGGCAGTGAGGGCTGAGAGGGCAGTGGGAACACCAGGCACACTGAGTTGGTATCAACAGAGGGCGTTTTGGAGTTGGCCACGATGAGTGAGACCCAAAGCTGCAACTTCCTGGTAGCAGGTGTGGCCAGGGTGACCGGCAGAGTTTGATATCAAGGGCACGCCATTGGGAGACTGTGGCATCGTGGCCCAGGCTTCTTACCTACAGAAATCCCAACCGTATTTCTGGGCTTAGTTGAAATGCTGCCTCTTGTCTGTGAATCTGCTCCTGATCGCCTTCTGGCTGTCAGAGCTCTCCTCCTTGCGGTGCCCAAGCACCCTGCGGTCGCACTGCTGCTCCTTGTATTCGAGTTGGCTGGGAACTGTGTGATCGGAGGCATCGTGCAAGAGGGAGCCTAACCTGGGTTGGCATCAAACCCAGCCACATGTTAACTGTGTGACGTGGGGCATATGGCTCAACCTTGCTGAGCTTCAGTGCCTCGTCTGTAAAATAGGAGTACCGTTCACTTTCCTGAAGTGTTTGAAAGCTTGAACGTAGGGCACGTGTAACACTTGACATATGCTAGGCATTTAGGAAGTGGTAGATAGTGCCTTTTTTTTTTTTCTTTTTGTAGACTGTAAGCTCTTAAAAAAAAATCTTTTTCTTTTTATCCCCAGCACCTGGCACAGTGCCTGGGACATAAGTAGGTACTCAGTAAATGTTTATTTGAGTCAAATTAATTACTTTTAGCACAAATATTTCTCAGAATTTCTTGTGTCCTACTTATTATTCCCTAAATAATGTTAGCCCATGTTTTGGCTTCTATACCCTTTCAGTGAAAGAGGCGCAGAAGACATTCCATGTGCAGAAGCGGGGCAGTGTGCCTCGCGTGATGCAAGAGCTCCTTGGAAATCTGCGTCTTCTTTCCCTCCTAGATCTGCTTGGTGCTGTACGGGCAGGCTGGCTCTGATGACCCATCGAATATGTTTTTGTTTTTGGTTTTTTTCCTTCCAGATTCTTAGAATTTGCACCAGGTATACCCCAGAACAAGACACCATGACTTTTTCAGATGGCCTTACCCTAAATCGGACTCAGATGCACAATGCTGGATTTGGTCCTCTGACTGACCTTGTGTTCACCTTTGCCAACCAGCTCCTGCCTTTGGAAATGGATGACACAGAAACAGGCCTTCTCAGTGCCATCTGCTTAATCTGTGGAGGTACCAACTACCTAGAAAACCCTCATGAGATGCCATGAAGAACAACTTGTAATTTATGGGAAATTCCTATCTCCATTTTGGAGTAGTTCTGCATGGAGAAAGCCATGTGAATAAACAGCCAGGCATGCATGCTTGGAGATTGTTGCATTTTTCCGTATTGTTGTAAATTGCTCTGAAACACCAAAATGCTATTTCTCCAATTGCTACCGGTTTTTTCCAAGGCAGGATCAGACTACTGTAAAATAAATTGCCTAAGGACGTTTTAGTGATAATGCAAGGGACTTCCCTGTGCTGTTTGTGAATTTAGTGGCTGGGACTACAAGTCACTGGGTTGTCTCGCCCCCTCCCCACCCCTAACCCTTGAAGGACTGGGATAAAATACGGCTTTCTTCTTTGTACTGACCCCTATTGGCTCACAGGAGGTTGAATCGTAAGTGGTTAAAAAGGAATGGCTTTAATGATGGGGGCCTGTTTACCTTAAAACCATCCCAGCCGCTCAAGGTTTGTTTGAATTCAGTTCAGTAGTGACACCTCCTGGTCACAAGTGGTAATTGTCTCCCTAAGACAAAAGCTGCCAGGCATCAACATGAGCTTTTGACCAGCAAGAGGGCCATTTTCAAGTATCACGGCTTAGGGCAGTTGCATGACTCTTCAAACCTGTATATGTGACTGAATCATGGAATTAATGAAGTCATAACATACTAGGGCCAAGGACACAAGAAAGGAAAATGGGCAGCAGCCCTCTCGCCTGGCAAGTGCCTAACTCTTTGTGTCCTGATCCTAATTAATACTTTATTCCTGCTATCTAGACCGCCAGGACCTTGAGGAACCAACAAAAGTAGATAAGCTACAAGAACCACTGCTGGAAGCACTAAAAATTTATATCCGAAAGAGACGACCCAGCAAGCCTCACATGTTTCCAAAGATCTTAATGAAAATCACAGATCTCCGCAGTATCAGTGCTAAAGGTATGTCTTTACAGTCTACGTTGTATTCATGAAGCGGTCCTGACTTTTTTTAAACTTGATGTTTTCATTCAGCGTGTTTGATAATAGCTGCTTTTTTGTTGTTGTTCTGGAATTTATTTCTCATGGAAATCAAAAGGAATAGTATTCACCCTTAAAAAAAAAACAACCTCATATCTTACCCTACTCAATGATCTTAACAGATTATGAGTTTATAATTCAGGTGACTAAGTGAACAGAAAAACCTTTTTTTTTTTTTTAAAGATTTATTTATTAGAGCGCACGCGTGCAGGGGAAGGGGCAGAGGGGGAGGAAGAGAGAGAATCCCAAGCAGACTCCCTGCTGATCACAGAGTCCTGCAAGGGGCTGGATCCCATGACCCTGAGATCATGACCTGAGCCGAAACTGAGTCAGACGCTCAACCGACTGAGCCACCCAGGCGCCCCTAGAAAAACTATTTTCAAGAGAATGTTCTATATATTGACAGGCTTTTTGATTTTCTAGTTTTATACATTTCATTCCTGTCCAGACATGTTCTGGTTGATATAAACTTGACTGCAGTTTTTCCTGACCATCCAGACCTCAGGAAAATGAATAGTACTTAGGGCAACGGTTACTGGTGAAGTTTCTCTCTCAAATCAATGTTGCCATCACTCGCTTGTGTACGGGCAGATTTAGTTCTGCACACTTCTCGGCAAAGGAGTTCTTGGCCTTCCTGAGAGGTATGAATATTCCTTGCCTAGTGGTTTTCAGTTTGAGTGGCAACTCGAGCAATTACAGAAGCGCCTGGAGCCGTATGACAGTTGAGTGCTAGAGTAGGGTTTTTCCGTGCAGAGAGAGAACTCAGCAGCTATCCCTAGTACCAAGTGTGCTGCTGTCATTCTCCTTCCCCATTAGCGTGCTCTGTCCCTGGAGACCTGGCTGAGCCAAGGAACAAACTCTACATTTCAGAAAGTGCTTTAAAAACATGGTGAGCTTGTTTGACAAGCAGTCTCAGTTCTTGAGCTCCTTCTAAGAGATTTTCTTAGCGAGCCATTCTGAATTCATCCCTAGTATGGGATTAAAGAGTGTCTGCAAACGGCAGATACCAGTGCTTGGCCATTATAATTGTGAGGTCTTGGATTTTAAAAACAATGAGGCTGTTTAACTTAATACTGTCATTCTCTGTATCTAGCTAGACCAGTGCTAATAGAATTTACTGTGATTATGGAAATATTCTATAATCTGCACTGTCCAATACAAGTAGCCACTAGCCACTCGTGGCTCTCGAGCACTTAAGAAGTGGCTAATGCAATTGAGGCACTGTTTTTCCTAACGGTATTTAATTTAACGAATTTAAGTTTAAATCACCACACGTGGCTGGGGCCTACTGTGCTGGACAGTGCGGTGCTACATCAACTTGATAATCACCGCACATTTATTAAGTCCCTTCCTTCGTTTGTGGGTAACTGGTATCCTTGACAACTGTCTCGTTTTAAGATATGCTCCTTCTGGTCTTTTATCAAGAACTTCTCCTTGTAAATATATCCTGCTAACCTTTCCTGAAACTGACTCAGGCATGGAATCATCAAATTTAAGCAAGTCCCTGCATCTGCGCTGCTTTCCTAGAGATGAAGTAAAGATGTTTCAATGTTGTAAAATCAGGACAGCCTCTGGGAGGCAGTGGTAGCGCAGTTTTCACCGTTTTTTTTGTTTTTTTGTTTTTTTTTAAGATTTATTTATTTATTTGGGAGAGCGAGAATGAGAGAGAGCACATGAGAGGGGGGAGGGTCAGAGGGAGAAGCAGACTCCCCGCCGAGCAGGGAGCCCGATGTGGGACTCGATCCCGGGACTCCAGGATCATGACCTGAGCCGAAGGCAGCCGCTTAACCAACTGAGCCACCCAGGCGCCCCCAGTTTTCACCGTTTTTAAAGTAGATGAAAGTTGATCCCAAGTTATTCAGCCTAGCTCCCTGTCTCTACCAGATTTCTATTATTTCTCTTTAAAAGGTGCAGAACGTGTAATTACCTTGAAAATGGAAATTCCTGGATCGATGCCACCTCTCATTCAGGAAATGCTGGAGAATTCTGAAGGACATGAACCCTTGACCCCAAGTTCAAGTGGGAACCCAGCAGAGCACAGTCCCAGCACCTCACCCAGCTCAGTGGAAAACAGCGGTGTCAGTCAGTCACCACTGGTGCAATAAGACACTTTCCAGCTACTTCAGACATTCCCCAATACCTTCAGTTCCAGGATTTAAAACGCAAGGAAAAAAAAAAAAAAAACATTTTTACTGCTGCTTAGTTTTTGGACTGAAAATATATTAAAACTCAAGAAGGACCAAGAAGTTTTCATATGTATCAATATATACTCCTCACTGTCTAACTTACCTAGAAATACAGACTTTTTCAATTCTAAAAATCAGCCATTTCATGCAACCAGAAACTAGTTAAAAGCTTCTATTTTCCTCTTTGAACACTCAAGATTGCATGGCAAAGACCCAGTCGAAATGATTTACCCCGGTTAAGTTTCTGAAGACTTTGTACATACAGAAGTATGGCTCTGTTCTTTCTATACTGTATGTTTGGTGCTTTCCTTTTGCCTTGCATACTCAGAATAACCAAGACACCAAGGTTGTGAAACAGACTACTGTTATGTGTCCGGCTAAGAAAGGCTCAAAAAAATAACTGTCTTGCTTTCACAGAGCAATCAGGACATCAAGGTAAGGAAAGGGGACTGTTGTACAGTATGACAAGATAAAACTAGAGAGAATTCTAATTTAGTTAGTACGGAAGCTTGTCCTTGCTCTTTTTGACGCTCTCAGACGGCGTCTTCTATTTTATGTTGCCCAGTAAAAAGATACAAATTCACTGCACTAGCAGAAGAGAATTCTGTATCAGTGTAACTGCCAGTTCAGTTAATCAAATGTCATTTGTTCAATTGTTAATGTCACTTTAACAGTGGTATATTACTTAATGACATAACTACACAATTTTTTTAAAAAAAGATACATTTTTACAGTAATGGTAGCCTCCAAGGCAGAAACACTTCTCAGTGTTAATAAGTTTTTTGTTTACCTATTCACAAGCCATTAGGGAAATTTCATGGGACAGTTAGCAGACTGGTCTACCACCTCTACCATGTTAAGTCCAGTGTCTTTTCTGATGCGTGCCTGCTATGGAGGGTTTTTTCTAGCCTCCTTGATGCCCAGGGGCTAATATGAACTCTCCAAGGCACGGACAGAGAATCTGCATCCTTTGACCTTGTTCGATCACTATGAAGCAGAGTGAAAGCTGTGGTAGAGTGGTTAACAGATACAAGTGTCAGTTTCTTAGTTCGCAGTTAAGCACTAGTGGATTTTTTTTTTTTTGATATATTAGCAAGTCTGTGATGATGTACTTTCACTGGCTCTGTTTGTACATTGAGATTGTTTAACAATGCTTTCTATGTTCATATACTGTTTACCTTTTTCCATGGAGTCTCCTGGCAAAGAATAAAATATATTTATTTTAAAAGTGTATGGGAGCTTTTACTACACTTTCATCTTACTTATAGTAAAGACACAGAGTACACGGTTCCATTTTTAATGTTTAAATTTCATTTCAAAAAGCAGGTCTGTAGTCTGCAACCATGACAATTAAAATCTGTGCTAATGCACGGCAGTCTATAAGTCTACAAGCCAATCAGACAGTACATGACATTTCAATGAGTAAAAAAGAGCATAAAACTGTATGTGTAAGAACAAAATGTTAAAAGGCCTACCACAATAATAAAAAACCATCAATTACATCATCACATTAAAATAAGCCAGATGTACAAAAGTCTGAGACAGAAAAGACAAAAGGACAACACAATTTATCTGTTGAAAAATGTTTCTGTGCTCTTTGGGCACTTAATTAAACATTGCAAAATCAACATCTTCTTCTTCATCAGACTCTGCAAAATATTTTACTTCTTTCCTAGCCCTACCGGTCCGTGGCAGAGAAGGTGGTTCAGAAGTGAAGTCTGATGGGAAGATGTCCACATCTGAATCCTGATCAAAAGATGTTTTCTTCGGTTTCTAGACAGGTTTAAAAAAAAAAATTTAAAACCTCAAAGTTAAAAAAGACTAGTGTTAAAATGAATTATTATTCCTTACACTTCATTTACATTTGAGAAATATTGCAAATAATGAGGTTACTAAAATCAGAACTGTAATGCTGACTTAAGTCTAAGACCAGTTATCTAATCCTTTTTCCCCTTTATAAAAATGAGTAAGTCTACTAATCTGCCACCTTGGTGATCATTTTTTCTGAACTTCTATATTGCCAAATAAATATGTACAGTGTCCAGATTAGTAAAAAATTACTTATTTGTAAGTACCTATCAATTCATGAAAGGAAAACAAGACTTAGGCACAGCATGGAGTACACACAGTGTTTATAAAAATGCAGGGAAGAGTCATCAAGATGGACCAGAGGCATGGAAGATGACTGGATGGAAAAAGGTCAAGGTGGAGAGCAGCAGAAAGCTAAAAATCTCAATGTTTGTATTTTTAGGGAGAGAGAGAAAAAAGAGGGACATCTGAGGTTTTTTTTTTACCATAAAAAAGGCTGAAAATTAGCCATAGTCAAATGAATTCAAGTTAAAAGAGGAAAATCAAATTAGCCCTGGTCAAATAAATCCAAATTAAAAAGAAATAGTCTTTATTTGGTATGAAAAATAATTATTTCAGGCAGGTAGCATATAACTTCTATGGCTCATTGGATGAAAAGGAATACTCTTAATTAAGTAGGCTAATTTATGCCATACTTTTATCCAAGAAATAGTACTGATTGTATGGATTTTATAATTCTTTAACCATATACAAAGCCCCCTATGCATAAGATAGGCTAGGTTTAAAGCTGTTAAAAGACATTATAGTAATAAGCCAACTAAGCCAGTTATAGATTATCATAAAACAATGCATTAAAAAGATGTCCCTAATTACCTTGCTTGTTGTTTTGGATGTTTTCCTGCCAGGGTTATAATCACCTTCATTTTCAGAGCCAGATGCTTTCCTTTTCTTTGCCCCTCGGCCTTTACCTTAAAATGATACAAAGGTTTGTTTTGTTTTTTGTTTTTCTCTCTCCCAAGGTTAAGTGCGATATAAAAAATAAATGCCACAACATTATATTTCATTTCCTTGGCATGCCCCAATCAGTACTGCAATCCTGGTCTCTAAATATAAATGAGATAAAAATGTTTTGGCAGCATCATTTCAGTTCTGGGATTGATATGACTAAAAAGTATGTCACAAATACATTTAAAACTAGCTGGAAGGTCCTGGTGACAAATTTTAATGACCAAGCCCGTGATACACAAGAGAAAACATTGGCATTATGAACATGTAGTCCTTGGGCCTGAAAAGAAAATGTCCTCAAAGAGTGCTTTTTAACTTGTATGTGATGAAAAAAAAAATTTAGTTCCTAATTTGTCATAGACTAGTACCTTTAAAAATATAAAATGAATCACTAGAAAAGTAATATATATTAGTACAAATTATGTTTGAATGTATACTCAAAATTTTACTTATCACATATTAGTAACAACCATTTTAAGTAGCACAGTCTTAGAATAAACGCCCAGTATTAATCATGTAATAATCTGTCAATTCCATGTTCCTTCTCAGACTTAGAAGTACCACATGCAGTTTTTGTTTTTTGTTGTTGTTGTTTTGCCATCTGCCTAACCTCTTATTCTCGTTGGAGGAGGAAGGGCAAAAGTAACATGCAAATGGTGACAAAATATTCTCCATCCTACAATGATGCCAGATGCCACTGAAACAATGGAACTAAAGTGCAATTCTAAATTTTAAAAATTCCTTAAGAGCTATGACTTACCAGATTGCATTAGTAAAGACAGCCTAAATGATCTTGGGATGTTTATCAAATGAGTCAATGAAATGGCACTTGTGAATTTATAAAAGTTTCCAACCATGCATACCATACATATGGACCTCCTCAGTGACTTTCTTTTTTGCCCCTATTCTCCCTTGTTTCCATGTAGGTCTCTATCTCCTCATCCCAACCACCACTTTAAGACATGGAACACATTGATGGTAATATCTGTCGGTTGGATAAAAGGTTGAGCAATGACCCTTAAAAAAAAAAAATAATGTCTTACACATATATTTTAAAAAGCACCTTTAAGGACTTTCTAGATTCTGGAGGCAAAGGAGGGGTGCCAGGGAGAACTGATGCTGGTGCCCTTACAGGTCCCTTAGTACAGTGATTCCATTTCCTAGATGAGCAAAAAGCTCCAGTCTAAGAGTCCTAGCTCCAATGAGAGTCACTCTCTAGGTGGTGAGGAGCCCTCATCTGACTCTTTAATAAACTACTTCCAGTGAGTCTGGGGCAGGGGATCTTTGAACCATTCTTAGGTGTGCAAGTTGCTTACTTAACCTCTTTGAGTCTCAATTCCCTGATTTATAAAACAAAGTGCTAGACTTCCTCTGGACACTAACTCTGCACTGATTCTTAGACACATTGCTTACTGAGGAGCAAAGCAATTTAAAACAAAACAGGACACAGTCTCTCTGAATTCAGTGAGTAGAAGAGACTTTTTTCCACATGGCATACATTAGGTTAACATAATCCTCACCTTTTGGGGGTGTAGTCTTCTTTGGAATGCCAAATTCTGAATCTGAGTCAGAGTTGATAGGCTCTACTTTCTTCTGTTTAGGAGCTCTCTTGGGCTTAGCAGTTGTATCTGAAGACGGTTTTCCTATTAAGCAAATTTCCATTTCATAAATCAATGTAATATACTTACCAACAAACTGCACTCAAGTGAATCCTAATTTCCTACTGCTGATATGAAACTGAGTAGCCTTAAATGACAAAATGGTTTCTTTCACTTGGTGCCAGTGTAAAGGCAAACAATTTCTCATAGATGACAAAATGCTTTTTATTTAATCATGAATAATTTGCCTTCTGATATTTCAAGTGAGATTATTTTAAACAAAGGCCATTAAAGTGAAGTAACTTTAATGAAGTGAGCAGTAACTTTTAAAAAGCAGTAGTCATGACAAAAAAGTAACATATTTGACATTAATTATAACTCAAGTATAACCACATTAAGTCCTAACTTCTAAAATGTTTTAGAGAAAAAAAAAACAACACATTTTTATGGGACCCTCAAATACCATGAATAGAAGCTGATTCACTTCCATCCAAAAGTGGAAATCCAGAAACGGCACTTTTATATGGAAAGAAACGAAGATTCCAGGTAAGTACACAATAGATCCAAAGGCCTTTGTTTTTATGAATTTTGTTTTTAAAATAGACCTTGTTTTTCAGATTTACAGTCTATGTGAAAACTGTGATAAATCAGTCTTGTGTGATTAGTAAAACCTACTTTGGAAAAAAAAAAAAAAAGCATTAAATTAACCAGACTTTTTCTATTACCAAAAAAAAAAAAAAAAAAAACAGAACAGGCTAATTATATGGAAAATGTATTCCCAGGCCCAATTTGAGGTGCTAGGGTGAAGGCCTCTCATTAGAACAGCAAGTGGTAGTGGTAGCCACAGATTTTGTGGCTTTTTCCCCAAGTCCTTACGACTAAACGTACCACCAGAGCTACATGGCAGGCAGTTCCTAACGCGAGTATAGGTTCATATAGCTGTGTGTTCAGGAACCACCTTTTCTCTTCATTAGAGTTTGCAGGCTTGTACTGTTCGGTGGCACTTAAAACTCTACCATGCAAATGCCCAAGTCAGATATCTGAGTGCTATGAGATTTTTCGCTATAAACTACTGGAGCTACAGAATTTAACTTGTATAGTAATATATGTAATTTGGAGTTAACATAGATGACCTCACAGAGGGACAGGATGCATCCTCTCCTTGAAATGGTATTTTGTGGGAACTGTAGTTTGGGAAGAGCCTAGAGGAAGACTGAGGGCTTCAACTTTTTCACACAAGGGATCACCTACGCAGATGACACAAGGCTAGGCTAGTTCAACTACTGGTGAAACAAGCAAATAGGACAGTTGGTGTGGTATGCTAGTGTTTTAGTTAATACTCCACTCTAACTCATTACGTTAAAGAGGAGTGAGGAGCTTGATGAAGGAAATAGGTTGATATGTTCAAAGAGGTGATATGGCTCCCAGGTTTTCAGGGTGGTTATAAAGTGCTCAAAAGATGCATAAAGGGAAACTAGGGCCTGTCTCAGTTTGAGTTCCCCAGAAGCAGATCCCACCTGATCCCAAAGCAAAGACTCAAGTACAAGTACTTATTTGGGAGGTGAAAAAAAAAAGTACAAAAACGAGACATGAAGAGAAACCTGTGTCATCACTCTAAGGGCTTATCTCTGAGCTTATCTCTTAACATGAGCAATCCCTGAGTCACTGTAAAATACACACCCCACAGTTAGCCTACCTGAGCGGCAAGAGCACTAATATATTTGCAAACCAGCTTTTCTCAATCACTGATAAAGGGTGGCTGAGGTGGGGAAATACGAACATTCCAACATAGTAACAAAAAGTCCTGAGGCAAAAAATACAGACCCTGGCTAATATGTACTAAAGTGGTATGGGCAGGGCACCTGATGTGTTGGCCAGAGAAGCTCTTATAGTTAATTAATTTCTTACCATGGTCCTAGTGCATTCAGAGTTAAGCAGGGATTTTTGTTGTTGTTCTGCTACATCTAATACATGGTGTGTCTACAATGGTATTGTCTGTTTTACATTTGTAAGGTACTGAAAAGATTGTCCACACTGTATGTTTATTTACTTGCTATGTAAGGAACACTTAGCTTTTAAACACAAAGCACTAATACTGACCTTCAAAAATACCAAGACTGTGTACCTTGGTGTTAATAACAGATTCATGAATTAAGTCAAATCAACTTAGATTTATGGACAACCTAAGGTTATGGATAAGAACGAAGCTACATGACACAAAGAGAACCTCAAATGAACTAACGAGTTATTCCAAATGAGGTGTTAAGATAGGACCTACATAGATAACACAATCAGGCAAGACAAAATTTTTATCTATTTTACAACCTAACAACTATAGGAGACCTTATTAGAAGGTCTTATTAGAAAGACCTTTTCTAGACCTTATTAGAAAGCTATCTTTAGTATCAATGTATGGGATTATTTTATAATTACAACTTTAGAATGAGATCTTATACACCTTTTAGTAATTACCTCATATGGTTAGAAAACAAGAGGGATTCTCCTTAGATGCGTTTATACTATTTTCTAAGTCCAAGTGCAAGCAGTTTCAAATTATATTAAATTTCCTTTAATATCAACTATATATCATTTATGCAATGCTTAACAACATCAAATAAGTACATACCCTTTTTAGCAGCTACTGTTTTACTTGGAACCTTATCTGTTTGTTTCAGACCAAATGATGGTGAAAAAACAGAGGCAGAATCTTCTTCATTACTGTCAAATTTAGCTGAATCTAAAAAGTACAAAGTTTTTCAGTAAAGAGACTATAAGGACCATTTAATAAACTTTGATTCTTTACTGATGACTTGTCTTTAGCTAGATTATTGATCTTATGAATTTCTACTTTGTGATCATATAGTCCATAATAACAGCTGAAAACAAAAGATGTAACAATGTTATATTTCAAAAATGTTAACTCTGTTGTATAACAATATAGAAATGCATAGAGTAATAAAAATTCTTAACAGTCCCAAATGTTCATCATTTAAAACATAACTGACCAACTCAAAAATACTGATTTATTTTAAAATGGAATATTAAAAAGTTCTCACTGTGATTATTTTAGTATCTACACATCTAATGCTATTAACCATTTCAGGAATATCAGTAATAATGTTCAAATCTAAGAGAGTAGTAACTTCATCTTTTAAAAACCAATTTTAAATCATTGAAGGTCAATTTAAAAGGCAGGTAGGCTTACCTTCAGTTTACTTTTACACTCAATCAGTCAATTCCTCCCTCCATTTCTCCCTCCCTCCCTCTGTCAAGCCAAAACAGGAACTCTTAAAATGTCTACTTGGATATGATAGTTTTATGTAAATGTTTTGACATCCTGTCAAAAATGCCTATCTATATTCACAGAACATATACCAGATCTATGTCTGTCTGCCTATGTGTGTGTGTGTGTGTATACAAGACAGTTAAGTCTACATAGATTGTTTTGACCTTAAAAATTCCACACACAAAAATATAGGGAATAAAAAGTATATACCCCAATTAAATTTGTTTCTATGAAGGGTTTAGTCTTTTAGTTACTACAGTTTACAAATCTGAATATTAGTCCCTTTGTAGTTTTTAAAAAACTGTCACATATACATTCATATTGCCATGAAAATCAAATTTCATGTTCCAAAATTTATCTTTTTCTCTATTAAAACACTATACCCACATCCATACACTTCATACACACATCTACCTACCCACCTAAATGGTTCCATATTGCCTATTTGACCAATTAGTTGGTACTCATCTCAGGAAGAGTAAATAAACCTTATTATGTTGAGGGAAATGTAAAAAGAAGTTTTCTACTCATAAAAAATCCATAGCAATAACACAGTAAGTAAACAATGAAAAGACTGAATGAGCATACCATCTTCTGACTTCTGAGAGTATGAAGGAAATGAGAAGAGATTCCCAAAATCTTGACTTTTTTTGTCATGTGAAGATTTTCTATTAGAAAAATTAAACAACCACAGTATAATTTAAATATATGGTTTCAACCTTGGTAAATGATATATAATATGTACTAAGGGATTATAATTACAGTTCTCTCACTGGTCTCTCTTTGTTAAAGACAGGGTAACCAAACTCTTTTTTCTGTCTCATATTCACAGGTGTGCACACATACACACACAGAGACACCAGAAAAGCCAATGATTTAACATAAGAGAATGGAAGTTGAGCAAAAGTTAAAAAGTTATTCAAAATATCGCTACATTAAATTTTATGATTAATAGAACTGTTCCAGAATTCAACATCAGTAAATTATTGCCAAAAACCTAAGGAGAAAGTCTGAATCTCTGTCAGTCATCACTAATCCTATTTCTGATCCTAGACTGCATATGATAAAACACTTCTTTAAAATAGACAGTAAAGCACTTCCTTTAAAAATTTGAAATAGCTGTTGACCCAAGCACTGGGTGTTATATGCAACTAACGAATCGCTGAACACTACAACAAAAACTTATGATGTACTATGTGTTGGCTAACTGAAAATAAAAAATTTTAAAAAAATAAATTTAAAAAACCTGAAATAGTGGGGCGCCTGGGTGGCTCAGTTGGTTAAGCGACTGCCTTCGGCTCAGGTCATGATCCTGGAATCCCTGGATCGAGTCCTGCATCGGGCTCCCTGCTCGGCAGGGAGTCTGCTTCTCCCTCTGACCCTCCCCCCTCTCATGTACTCGCTCTCTCTCATTCTCTCTCTCTCAAATAAATAAATAAAATCTTAAAAAAAAAAAAAAAACCTGAAATAGCTCACAAACTTCACATCCTACACCTTAGTGTTTGATACTCTCTAGAGGCAAAAATAAATAAATAAATAATGAGAAATCAACCAAGGCCAAAGTTAGGGAAGAAAATCAAACCTCCCAGTTCTAAAGTTTTAGTAACTTCTCTGAACCATGTTGTCCGACTATGTCCCATAGGCCTGTTGCCTATTTTTATAAATAAAGTTTTCCTGGAACACAGCTATGCTTGTTCATTTACATACTGTTCATGGCTGCTTTCTTGCTAAAATGGCAACACTGAGCAGTTGGAACAGAGACCATACGGCCTGCAAAGCCTGAAATATTTTCTATAGAGCCCTTTATGAGAAAAAACCTGCCAGTCCCACGCTTTAAGATATAGCAACAGTTCAGTAAACAGCTGCAATATTACCTAGATTTTTTCCTTTGTGAGGAGGACCTTACCTCGAATGATGATAAATTCTTAGATACAGTTTACTATGAGATCTTTTTTTTTTTTTTTTTAAGATTTTATTTATTTATTTGACACAGAGAGAGGCAGAGCGAACACAAGCAGTGGGAGCGGCAGGCAGAATAGGCAGAGGGAGAAGCAGGCTCTCTGCTGAGCAAGGAGCCTGATGTGGGGCTCGATCCCAGGACCCTGGGATCATGACCTGAGCCGAAGGCAGCCACTTAACCAACTGAGCCACCCAGGCGCCCCTACTATGAGATCTTTGATAGATTTCTAAATAACTGCACCATGTAAGTGAATAGTAGTTGCTTCATTACTTACTCTGGAGTAGCTTTTGATTTGCCTGGTGAAAATGTATATTCATCTTTATCTAGGCCATCTGAAGGAACAAATTCATCTTCCCCATCATTTGTTATGGGAGATGCTTTAACTTTCAGCTCCTCTAAATCATTATTGTCGTCATCATCATCAGCATCATCATCCTCTTCTTCTGAGAAATCAAATGTGTACTTAGGCCTTTCAGCTAGGAGAAAAATAAAAGTGAAGGTTAAACTCAAATCCAACTTTATCCATATATTATGAATAATGCATTTGAAAATATTCCAGCTATCTCTAACACAAGAGGAAAAAAAAAGACAAGCATTCAGGAAAAAAAAAAAAGCCAACAACTTCGGCCTCAATTATTTTGATAATGTTAAGTGTTCATCTTGTTCTTCCCAGGAGGCGAATGGGGTAATGCTGCATATGGAAAGGAGAGCATAAACTAATGAGATTAATGATTAGGGTGCTATTTGTCATACTTAAATATTAACTCAGAAATAGTGGGGAATATAAGCCATTGTAAAAGTAACTACTAAGATTTCCCATTTCTACAATGGGAAGGCCAATTTACTAGTCTTAATGCTAAACGTTCTCTTAACCTCTTGCACTAAAACTTCTATCTTCTATTCACAGTAGTTTTACTATGAATTGACAGTATTCTTCAGATGAATGAGAAAAAATAGAGATAAGACCTGGGTATATTACTAAAACAATAATTTAATATAAAGCATAAAAAGTACCAACTATGGGGAAAGGCACATTGGTATAATGCAAATAACTTTTAAAATTTCTAGCATATATTATGGAAATAAAATTTTTAAAACATTTGGGTGCTATGTAATTTTATACTTCATTTTAGATGTATGAGAAAGCCTAAATATAATTTTGAAGCATCTAATTTAATAAATTAATTTTCACATAAATTACTCATGTTAATTCACCTACATTGTACCACCTATGCACATTAGGAAAAGAAAGTCAATCACCAGTGGTTAGAGAACCGAAGAATTTAAGGCCTGACATATAATTTAAAAAGTATCTCCCAGAGGTAAAATAGCCATAATATGGTATCATTCATTTTAATTAGGACTTACTAAAATTTGAGAAGAATCTATAAAATAGGACACTCAATTTTTAAGTACTTGAAGACTTCAAATTAATGGATATTCAGAAAGGATAAAACTGCCTATTTAACAACAATATAGAATAACAAAATGGTATCTTCATCCTAACTCTAGCACTGCAGTTATATAAATTATGCGATGTGCATGGAATCAGACTCCTAAAGCAGGAGGAAATTTTTCATGGGGAAAAAAAAAAACGAAACAAACAAAACTACAAAGCACTTCTATTGATCTATCAGTCGGTGTTCTACCAAGGTACATTTTTACCAAACATCTTCAAACTATGGAGGGAATATAACCGAAGCTTTTTAATAAAAATCAATAAGTAAACTTGATTTACTTTAGAGTAATTTATGTCCAACTTTGCTAAAAACATCATTCTGTAAATCAATTTTTTTTGTTTTCGTGAACTGTAACTTCTGAAATACTAACAATTTAGTACTTTAATAGCATTGATAATACTAATAATACTAACTTATATGAGTAATATTAACTTGGTCAAACTATAATATACAATAAACTAAATATACAATGTATCAAAATACCAGCTGCTCTCCTAAGCAAAGAATCTCTTGGAATAACCACAGGTTCTGTTTCTTCCAAGTCACTTTCTGACTTGGATTCATCATCTGACCAAGGATTCCGTTTCTTCACTTTCTTTGCACTGGATTTACCAGATGATGTAGGTGTTTTTCTCACCCTGGTACCTAAAAACAAAACAACAACAATAAAATATCATTAGTAAAAATATAAAATAACAAGTGTTCATGAAAATTGAGAAATTACATCAACTATTAGAAGAAAAAACACAGTAAAAAAAAAAATAGTAATACCCTGTACATATATGCATTTTCTCACAAAAAAAACTTTGTAACAATTCCTCACCAGGCTCCTTTTTCTCCCTTTTGGGTTTGGGACCTTTATTTACAGGAGCTGACGGGACCAATGCCTCTTCTCCAGTACCCTCTACTGGTGTTCCACTAAATTCTTCATCAAATTCTACTTTTACTGTTGTGGTATCAAGATCACCCTACACATTAAACAAACAAATACATAAACAGAAGTAAAAATAAAAATTAAATTAACACCATTCATTTTAGAGATACATTTCCAGCCATAGATCACGTCTTCAGATAAATAAAAAAATAATAAAATGTGATTCTACTGAGGTCCAAACAGAGGACTTTGATCAGACCACGTTTTACTTTATTTATCTATAGCAAATGATACTGCTTACCACTCTAATATTCTGATACACTCTATGAGATGACAGCTACTTAAAATCAACTGTACAATTCACAGCGCTTGCTGTGAATTGTGCAAGACTGTTGAATCACAGATCTGTACCTCTGAAACAAATAATACAATATATGTTAAAAAAAAAAAAAAGAAGA